CAAAGCCCGGGGGTTGGCCATTGCAAAAATGTTGACTCGGAAGCACTTAGGGAGGAAGCTTTATAAAAGTATCCACCTGCTTCAACAAGACAAACCAAAACTAAGAATGTGGGTTCCATTTGAAAAAAAACAAAACAACATTGTCAGCCCGAATTAACTCGGGGGCGGCACTGAGCAAACAAGCCACGGTACGAGTATGCTTGGTTCAGGCGTTTGTAGGGGTGGTAGATGATTCGGTGTTTTCTAAAAAAAATTTTTTTTTTTTCTAAAGGTGTGGTGGTCGAATATTCAGGGATGGGCATTGAGTCGGGATGTTAAGGTAAAAATTTCATCCACATGCCGGGATTCATGCGCCTTGTCCCCCTAGCGAGGGGGACAAGGCCTTCAAAATTTTGGGTTCGCAAAAGGGGTGCATCAGTATTGACGTCTCATTTTACATCATTCGTCTCAATTTAAAACGCACTATAAATGACATGCCTGAGATTCGTTTGGGTGTACTTCCTCCCAGCAAGTATATGGTTCTGTCTCAAAAAGGTCTAATCTGATGTTGACCGCTCCTCAGGTCTCCACCGACGATTCATCAGGACGAGACCCGACCGGGACACTAGGGAGGAACGGCTTAAGCGAGGGAGGTGTGTGTTTCATTTGCTATGCCTTTTGGCGTGCACATTATGTTTGTTATGTTTTTTTAGATTCCTGCAGAGTTCGGTTTCAACTATTGTAAAATACCGAGCATGCGCCCAGGTCGCAGAAGCGCCTACCCTCTGATTCGGAACGATCCGCAAATAAGCAAAGGGCATACCAGACACCCATCCACCTGTTTTGAGCCATGCTCAAAATATTGAAAGAGCACATCAAGCGTCAGGTGCTGTGGCGCCTTTGCCACAATAGCGCCAGTCGCAGGGCTGACAGATCCGTGACTGGCGCAAGCCATGGCATGGCCTTTGGGAACCAGGGAATTGAGATTAAAGAAGTAGCGCAGAAATTGGAGGCGAGTGGTGAAGGTGAGCAGAGTTAACAGAAAACAAGGATGAAGGGAGTTCCGTCGCATGAGGCATCTGTGTCCCGTGCATGTAATTTTGAGTGTGCTGTAGGTGGCTACCCAAAAAAATTGTTACTTGGACGTAACTAATCGCAAACCTCTCATGCAGTTTCCATGGCCCACAAGCCAGCCGGCGCCAGTTCGTTCTCGTTCAAAGGTGAGGATTCTAGATTTTCTAGATTGCTCTGAAGCAGCAATACTGAAGCCAGAGAAGCGGTACGGCATATTTAATTGACAGAACAACTGGGAACGCTTTCACTGAAGCTTGTTTTGCTGCAATACACGTGTGTATTGCAGCAAAACAAGCTTCAGTGAAAGCGTCCCTACTCGTTCTGGGCTCCGTCAATTAAAGGTGCCGTACCTGTTGTCTGTCTGGCTTCAGTGTTGCTGTAGGCGACAAAACGTGTGCCCAGTTTTGTCACAAGAGGCATATTATGTCACGCACATGTAATTTTGAATTTATCGGGCTTAGTGTGCTGTAGGTGGCTGGTCAAAGAAATTGATACTTGGACGCAGCTAATCGCAAATCTTTCTGGCAGTTTCCACAGCCTAAGAGCCAGCAGGTCCCAGTTTGCTTTTCTTCAAAGGTGAGAATTCCAGATTCCCGAGGGAGGAATACTGAAGCCATATGACCGGTACAGCATTTTTAATTGACGGAGCTCAGAACGACTGGGAGCTCCTGCATTGAAGCTTATTTTTCTGTAATACAAGCGGGCGACATTGACACGTGCCCAGTTACGTCGCAAGAGGATATCTATGTCCCGCACATGTAATTTTGAATCTTTCAGACTTAGTGTACTTTACGTGGCTACTCAAAGTAACTGCTACTTGGACGCAACTAACCGCAAATCTCTCTTCCAGTTTCCACGGCCTACAAGCAAGCAAGCACCAGTTCGTTTTTCCTCAAAGGTGAGCATTCCAGATACTCTAGTTAGGTGCGAAGCATGAATAGTGAAGCCAGAAGAGAGGATACGTATATTTAATTGACTGAGCTCAGAATGACCTGTGGCAGTGGCATTGAAGCTTATTTTTCCACAATCAAACGCCGACATAATTTTGAATCTACCCGCTTGGTGAAGGATTGCTACTTGTCGCGAACTAATCACAAATTTTTATTTTGCAGTTTCTATATAACTACAGCTAGCAGGTGCTGTTTTCATTAAGGTGAGGATTTCACATTCTGTTTTCAAACATCAAGTTTTTAAATGAGAGTCCTAAACAATTAACTTTCTTTTGCGGTAAATGCCAGATCCTCCAGTTCAGGAATATGTTAAATATATTTGGTATGGATAAGTCCAGTGTTTTGCTTCTTTATTCACAATTTCACAACATCAACATTTTTTAAAATTTATCACTCAGAAATACACACAAGAAGAGACTGCGTTGCAGAGAAATGTTGCGCTGAACGTGATATTCCAACTCGTATATAGTTTTATTGGTAGCCGATATAATATATTGGATTCCAATATCCATAATACGCTGAGTATATTGGAATCGTAAACCCTTATTGGATCCCCATACGACACATGGGGATCCAATAAGGGTTTATACGGTATTGGATTCCAATATTTTCAGCGTATTATGGATATTGGAATCCCATAACAAATCCTTATTGTAATACAATACAATAAATGTAATGTTTTCCAATACACTGTCTATATTGTATTGCAATACAATAAAAAGATATTGTTTACCAATATCCATAATACGCTGTTTATATTGGGGTTTTCCAATAGGGTCGGCATTGACTTTCTCGGCCCTTTTCCTCGATCGACCATGAACAACAAATGTATTATCCTAGCCATCGACCACCTGACGCGATACGCGGAAAGCAAGTGCGTTCCAGCCGCCAATGCCCAGGAAGCCGCCAACTTCTTTCTACACAGCATTTTGTTACGTCACGGAGCCCCAAGCAGATTATCACCGATCAAGGCACCCCGTTCATTTCAAACCTCCTCGAAGACGTGTTGCGCCTCGCATGAACCGTTCACAGCGTCACAACTGCATATCACCCTCAAACCAATAGGCAAACCGAACGCCTTAGTCACACTCTAGCGGACATGATCTCTATTGGCGAATTCGCGTGGTCATTTCCCGGCAAAATATTTTGCCATATCTCCGCCAAGGGCGTTCGCTTGGTCAAAGGCTGGCGAGTGCGCGCCGTTCGGGTGGCACTTCTCAGGCGTGTGCAGGCAATTTACCGGCACAATTTTTGCCCGAGCTCCAAGAGGTCGGGCAGCTTGTCTGCCAGACTGTATCCGGTATCGTCATATCCGAATCGGGAAAGGGAACCAAACGAAACAATGGTCGCCGAGAGCGTGTTCGAGTAGAAAACGAAGCCATTGAGACAGACACCCCTCTGTGGTCCGAGAAAAGACAGCAAAAACAACGGAGATAAAGATAAAATGTTTTAAAGGAAGCTTCCGTAAGATCAGTTTCCTATGGGACACAGCGTGTTATTACACCGCTGTAAAAAATGTATTGATAGTGCTGCAGCTCGACACTTGAACGCGCATTACTATTTTAGAGGGCTGGGTCAAATCAAAATGCTGAGGATTCCAGCAAAAAGGTAATAACAAGAAAATGGAATATAAAATGGCGACGCTGGTGAGCCTTCTAGGATCCTTGTAAGATGGCAACAGTTCCTCGAGAATCTAAACAAAATATATTACAATTTGTTTACCCACATCTCAGAGTCCGAATATATGTTGCTGATGCCTAGAGCGTGCCTATTGTATCATAAAATAATCGTGGAAGAAGTTAACGAAGTTCACGCGCGACCCAGGCAGACGAAAACGCCAGTTGCAGGCGCTTTGTGTTCGGGTGGAGAGGGTCACGTGGTGCGCCGCTGGCGCGGTTTTCGTTGCCTGTGCCGCCGGCGTGAGCTCGCCGGCGATTGACCACCCCAACTACACTAGTTGGGACACCGTCCTTCCGTATGTAGCCTACGCTAACAATACCGCCCGTCAGGCTACTACCGGTTGCTCTCCTTACTACCTTTTGTATGCCCGTGAGCCACTCACCCCACTTGACACAATCCTACCTTATATTAAAGACAACGCGGTTGAGCATTATACAGCAGACGTAATATGCCGGACGGAGGACGCCCGTCACCTTCGAGTCTCAGCAGCAGCAACAATTACGTCACGCTGACCTTTATCGCCCGGCCCATTACAACTTTGGAGTCGAGGTTTTTTTTGTCGACCCTTTCACGCGCCCCCGGTCTCTGTGAGAAACTTATGAAGCGCTTCGTAGTGCCATTTTGTGTTCTGCGACAACTCTCGCCAGCCAACTATGAGGCAGCCCCACTTTCGGCGATTTGAGATCGCCGCTCCAAATCAAGTGACATTGTTCATATTGCCCGTATGAAGTCATACTGCCGCCAAGAAAACTAACTCTACCACAAGACCGGTCCTTTCGACGGCGCGGGGATATTGTTGGGAAAGAAATGGAGGACAAAGAAGAAGCCTCATGCAGGTGCTTTGGGAGCGCGCAGTCTGTTCCCTGAAGGACATTGGCAACTGTAGCACAGCTTCGCATTTATACATCCTCTCATTTAGCACACCTATATTTTCACCCTCACAATATATGTATATATACATGATCTTCCTGGCGAAGGCCGGACTCCGGCCGAAACGTCGAAGAATAGATCGTCCGTTGTTGCTATTTTCACGAAGGTTTTTTTTATTCCCAATTATATACCGACGCCTTCGGCCTCCCGCCACCATATATATATATATATATATATATATATATATATATATATATATATATATATATATATATATATATATATATATATATATATATTTATATATTGTAACGGACAAGGAAAAGGAAGAAAAGGAGAAGAAGAAGACGAGGTCGGGTGGAGAACGGGGGACTGAATTCTGGGTTGCCCGTTTAGCCCGTGAACTGAGACGCAGGCAACATTTGGTGGCAGCGGTGGGATTACGAAATGGCAACCCAATCGGAGGCAAGTGGCGTGATCTCAACTTCCGCTGCGATGCAAATCACGGAGCGGTTAGCTAATCTGCTCGCCGAAAGGAGTGCTACGGACATTGTGAACCCGCTTAGAACCCTCGACGATTGCCTCGCAACCCGTCTGTCTCTGCTGGAATCTGCAGTCGAACGTCAGGTTTGCCGATGTAGGGCAACGCCTCAATGACGGCCTTTCGTCCGTGGAATCTCGAATTCGACTGCCTGTGCACCACGGACCACCACTCAAGCTGCCGACATTCGATGGGCAGTCGTCATGGCAAGCCTTCACCATCCAATTCGAAACGGTTGCGGACTTTTACGAGTTCGACTCAACGTCCAGAGCTCATGCAATGGTGGCCCAGCTAAGGGGGTACGCTGCTGAATGTTTGGAGAGCATGTCTGCCACAAGTCGTTCCTCATATCAACTACTCATAGAAGCTCTAAAGTCCCGCTTTGGTGATGAACATCTCCAGCAATTTCACCTGACTGCTTTAAAGCACCACTGCCAAGGCACGGACACACTCCAGGAGCTAGCTGACGTAATCCAGAGGATGGCGAGAAGAGCGCTCGTCGGATGTACGGAAGTCGACTTGGAACAGATAACAACCACTGCTTTCATCGACGCAATCGAAGACACCGACATCCAGCTTCTTGTGCGACTCGCCCACCCAACCACGACTCGTGCAGCACTTGCTGGCGCACTAGAAGTTCAAGCAGCCAACAAAGCAATGGACATGGTGTCGACATCTGGAATCAAGCTTTCGCGGGTGGCTCACCGATCTTCTCCGGTACGTTCAAGTAAACGTCGTTGCTTCACGTGTGGTGACATTGGGCACTTAGCTCGATCCTGCCCAAATCACTTGGCCCCGTGCAAAATGCAACCTATACCAGCGCCAAACGTTTCAAGTGACAGTGAGCCTGGCAAGGTTGAGTCTCATGTAGTGCATCATGTTCCTCTGGTGACAACGCCACTGCGCACCTCGCCAACGCCATGTCTTTCAGTTCATCTTCATGAGTTGGGACAACACGTGAATGCTATCGTGGACACCGGAGCTGCAGTAAGTCTAATCGATTATGCATTACTGCAATCAGCAAAGTGTACCACGCCCAAAACACTTCCTGGTACCGTCTGTCTTATATCAGCCGACGGTTCTACAATCGGACAAGAAGGACAGATCTCGTTGACTGTAGAAACTTTAGGAACAACAGTCAACCTCCCCTTTGTAATTGTGCGCAAGTTACAATGGTCAATGATACTAGGCCGTGACTGGTTTTCAAACGTCCAACTCTCCCTATCGTTTCGAGGAGGTGAACATTGTTTGTCAGCCGTACCAACTTTCAGCACTGGCGATCAGTCTAGTTGTTCTGCGACAGAGTTGCCCCAAGGAGATAGCGGGGGAAGCAAAGAAGCAATTTCCTTGAATTTTGAGAGCTTATTCGATGGATTTATCCTAGCGTGGTCCAGCTTGAAAAACCTGACGAAGACCGCTGCAGCCCAAGTGTGTTCTACCGTCGCAACTGCTACGACATTTGTGTCTACACTAATGGCACCGATGGTCAATCGAAAACCACAGAAGGTCTTCCGTATGGTCGCAGCATCGGACATTGTTGTACCTAAGTTATCTGCAGTTTGGGCTACAGCAACAATTCCAGGTTCAATGACGTCAAGAGATATCCTAGTTGAATCACTGCTACAGTCTCGACCTGGGATGGAGTTTGCTATGCCTCGCTGCCTTGTTTCCTGCGAGAAGGGGAGTTTGATGCTTCCAGTTTTAAACCTGACGAATGGTGACCTGCTCCTGAAATCCGGTGAAGACTTCGGACCTGTGACATTTGCCCTGTCACATGCCACTGTCGCAACAATTAGTGCGGCCCCAACAATGTCTATCCCGCAAGATTGCCTTGAAAAAGCTAGTGACCTTCCATGGTCGGAATTTGATTTCGGCCACAACTTAACAGAACAACAAAAGGCACAGATAGAAGAACTGCTCTTGGACTTTCGGCAGTGCATTGCTGTTACACCAGAAGAGCTAGGGTGCACACCACTTGTGCGCCACACCATCAATACTGGTGATCACGCTCTAGTACATCACAATCCAAGACGTGTTTCGATGAGAGAACGGGAGGAGATAAACCACCAGGTAGACGACATGCTTCAAAGGGACATTATAACTAGCTCCAACAGTCCCTGGTCGTCACCAGTTGTCCTGGTTAGGAAAAAAGACGGTTCTACAAGATTCTGCGTGGACTACCGGAAACTTAACAGCATAACAAAACCAGACGTGTATCCATTGCCACGACTTGATGATGCCCTTGATCGCCTTCATGGTGCCAGCTACTTTACTACTCTGGATCTCATGTCCGGATATTGGCAAGTGGAGCTGGAGCCGAAAGATTCCGAAAAAACTGCCTTTGTGACTCCTGACGAATTGTTTCAGTTTAACCGTCTTCCATTCGGACTCTGCAATGCACCTGGGACCTTCCAACGCCTCATGAATAGGGTGCTTGGACACCTGAAGTGGGCGATGGCGTTAGTTTATCTTGATGATGTCATCGTATACGCTGACACTTTTTAAGAACACCAGCACCGTCTGCGTCTAGTGCTGAATGCCCTCACCAATGCGCATCTCCGTCTGAAACCATCGAAATGCTTCTACGGATGCGACACAGTCATTTACTTAGGGCATGTTGTCAACAAAGAGGGTATTCGCCCGGATCCAACCAAGCTGGCAGCGCTAGCCAATATTCCTGAGCCTACTACCACAAAGCAGTTGAAAAGCTTTTTAGGCTTTGCGTCCTATTTTCGTCGATTTGTAAGAAACTTCTCTCTAAGAGCTGCTCCACTGACTGAGCTTCTTAAAAAAGACACCAAGTGGCGTTGGCCCGCAAAAGAACAAGCTTCTTTGGCTGATATCAAGAGAGCACTTCTTGAACCACCAACCCTGGCTCATTTTTCAGAAGCACCGACGTTCATTCACACTGATGCCAGTGGCGAAGGGCTTGGCGCTGTTCTTCTCCAGAGAGACAATGCAGGAGTAGAACATCCCGTATTACACGCAAGCCGCAAACTTAGCGAACCAGAAAGTCGATGCCATTCTTCAGAACTCGAGTGCCTCGCTGTTGTTTGGGCAGTGGAAAAGTTCCGTCCATACATCTACGGAAAGCATTTTACAGTCGTGACAGATAACTCTGCTCTCCGTTGGCTTCAGTCAAAAAACGATCTAACTCCGAAATTGACTCGGTGGGCAATGAAACTGCAAGAGTTGGACTTCTCGATCGTTCATAGAAGTGGGAAACAGCACCAAGACGCCGACTTCCTCTCACGGCACCCCACCGAAGACGCCAGAGTTGCTCCTGTACTCGCACTTCTAGATTTGCAGTCAGCGCAAGCAGAGGAATGTGACACATACAACATAATCCAGTTGCTTTCTGACGAAGTGAACGGGAGACCGCGACTTTCAGAACGTCGCTTACGGCGTATACGAGCGTACTACCAGCTTCGGGACGGTCTGCTGTGTCATCGAGCACATCCCTCAGGAGCGTGGCTCCCCGTAGTTCCCCCCAAAATGCGTCGGAACGTTCTTGAGATGTGCCACGATGCTCCAACTGCGGGTCACCTCGGGCAACACCGGACGCTCGACAAAGTGCCAGAGATTTTGGTGGCCGCACCTCAGGACGGATGTCCGACAGTACGTCGCGTCTTGCGCAACATGCCAACTGCGGAAAACACCACCGCACCCGGCGAAGATCGAACTACAGCAAATACCACCTCCAGGCAGCCCGTTTGAGGTAGTTGGAATCGATCACCTGGGGCCCTTTCCAAAATCTGATGATGGAAACATGTACGTCATTGTGACTGAGAGCTGGGAGACGCTGCGCCTTGCGAACGCCCGTCCGTTCAGAACCGCCCATGCACGACTCGTGCAAACGCCGGTAAGCAACTTTCTTTTGTTTCTACGAAGTGGGCTGCTGTTTCAAACTTTGTCGTGTACCGTGTGTTTGCTAGGCTATGCTTGATTCTAACTATGCTTCTGTCCTGTGTTATTTAGTTATTTGAAAAGAGCGTTTCTTCTTCAAAACCTATGGCTCACTCCGCAGTGTGAGAAAGATTCCCGTGCGGCGGAACCGTGGGCATGTTCTGGGCGCCGTCGTGCGGCGCTCGTCCGACGACGCTTGTGCGGAGCGTTCGAGTGCCGTCTGACGGCAGTTCATGCATTCAGTCGCCGTCCCAAAGTGTCGCCGTCCAAAGTCCACAGGTCATGCTTTAGACGGCGACATTCAGTCGCCGTCAAAAGTCCACAGGTCATGCTAGTTCTGACGTCTTGTCCTAACAGCCGCTCGCAACCGATTTGTTTCATAAAGCGAGAGCGAGAAAAACGTTACAAGAGCGAGCATGCAGCATGATTTTTTGCATAAGCTGATGCCTGTGCCATAGAGACGCGCGGTCTCTTCGTCATATTTCCGAGGGTGAAAGTGCTAAAAAAATGAACGGAGAAACAACGCCCTGTGTTGTTTGTTTCTTTTACTTCTCCGTTGTTTTTAGAGCTTTTACCCTCGGAAATTAGGTCTCTTCGCGTTTACCGAACCGACACACTTTTCAAGTTTACGATTTTGTGATGCGAAAAATAAATGGAGTTTAGATGTCACGTTTTTTAATAGTGCCGAAAGCCCTTACAAAAATCAGAGCAGCTAGAAAAAGCAAAAACATGAAAAAAGGTGGAAAAATTAACTAATGTCAAACCTGAATATTTGACGGAGTTTAAAGACTACCATCGTACCAACTCGCCCGGCTATTCGTTCTGTCAAAGAATAGCCAATATATATAAACATATAAATGCCAACTATTAATTGGTTACAAAGTCGTAATTGGTGCAGTGCAGCCCTAGGCTACTCTGCTCTTTTGATGATTTCAGGTAATGTGTAAATGTACACTCTAAGAAAAAAGTTGGCCTCAAGGGACTAACGGCAGCATTTGGTCCTCTGAACTCCCAGTTGCTCCCCGAAAGGACCATCTGGCTCAAACTAGGTACCGTGCGCAAAAGCTGGGACTAACTGCGCTCGACTGAGACCAACCGATAGGCGTGCGCGAGCAAAATCATCCATTAGTCCCCCCAGACAGGGTGCATCTGTATGATTTAGTCCCCGAAGGCAAACGGAATGTTCGCCAGGAGGACGGATGCTATTTCGCTTGTCTTGGGAATCGGCAAGACTCAGCCCAGCACGGATGAAAGTGTTAACAAAACTCGGACGAAACTGGCGAATTTGTTTAATGTGTCACGAACGTTAAGACATTACATGGCATATTCACGCGTTGTGTGAATGCGAGTGAACGAATGTGTTGACTCGACTTCACCTAACTATCTCGTCAAAAATTATCTGTTGACATTCCACAAGTCCCATTTACGTAATTTGCCTGCGCGCAGAAAAATGTGCTTCTACCAAACGCAACACCTCAAAATACTAACACTTTTTTTCTTTTTAAAATTAAACTTAACAGTTTGTAGAAGCCACGCTTTGAACACCGGAGTCTCGCAGTCAGAATAAATGGTCACTTCAATCGCTAAAACTGAGCATTCCCACCGGCGATATAAGCAGTCGCGCGATGCGACTAGATCGCATCGCAAAAAAAAAATTAGATGGTCACACCGGCGTGTGCGATAAGCGAGTCCAATGCCTTCGTTGGCGAGTCGTTTCTCGAATACTCTCGCTCCGAACGCCGTTGAATGGCTCAGCCGCTCCGCGACTAGATCGCATCGCAAAAAAGTCGGGTCGAGAAGCGACTGCTCAAATCGCGTCGCTTTTTGCCCGCGATGGTCGCTTTTGCGATGAAAGTTATCGCGCGACTAGATCGCATCGCCGGTGGGAACGCGCCTCCGTCTCCCCGTGACAAACCTTTCTGGGTAGTCCAATGTCGAACTCGAAATACGCAACGACACACTTGATGCACGGCACGTTCTACTTATAGAGCACATTCAGGGGCACTATCCAGACGCCTTCATGCCATCGTCGTCGCTGTTTCCTAAATAATCCAGATGAACAACGAAGAACGAACCACGCCCGGAACGTCACACCTGGCAGCACCCTACTAATACAAAACAAATGCGAACTAAAAAAAGAAAACACTCGAGAAAGCTGAAAATGCTTAAGAGAGAGAGATAGATCGAAAAAAAAAGTGTTTGATTGTACGTCACTCGACCGGCGTGTTGAAAGTGGTGACCTTCTCCCGTCCTTGGAGCTCTTCGGTGTACTTGTGTCGTGTGTAGTGGGAGCGAGAAAAGAAATTATCTTCTGCGCGCACTGCCCCCTCCCCCCAAACCCCTACCCCGCATTCTTTGCTCCTTGGGTCCGTCGGGAAGGTGGGAAGTGTCTTTGTTCGAAAAGAACCTGTTTTTAGTAAGTTGAAAGTCGAAATACAGCCTTCG